CCCGCGACCTCCATACCCAGGCCGGCAGCCCACGGCGGAGCCATGGCCACAGAGCGGGACACCTCCCTGGCCACCCGGCAGGCGACAAGGGACGGACAAACGGCCTGGGACACCTTCCCCTTCTGTATTTTGGGGTCTGGCCCAGTGCGTGGGGCACTGCTCCTCCATGTAACACTCATCCCAGGGGCTGCAAGGACTCAGACACAGGTGGAGCGTTGCTGCCTTATAACACCTATTTCAATTACATCTTCCTACTAAGAGTAAGAAGAGAAGTGATTATTGTAGTAGCAGCTTTACATGTCCTGTTTTCCTAAGGTTTCGGTGCTATGTGGCCGGGTGTTTCATCCACTGGGCATCAGCTTGAGTCACAGCCTGGCCTGCAACGCTTCAAACCCTCCTCCATGTCCTGAAACAAGCCTGGGTTCCCACGTTAATTTGAATTAAATACGAAGCTGCACCAGGATTATTTCTATGTTTGCAGAGCACAAAGGGAGCCTTCTGGATTTCAGTTTGCTGAAGTGTCCACCTGGCAGAGCAGGGGGTACATAAGTTTGGCCACATCTACCTACATAGAAATAGAGGTACTCCATGAACAGCCACCCAAACATGAGCACCCCACGCTAACCAGACGATGTTTCTTACTATAAATGTATTTCTGTTTTTCAGCAGGAACTGGTCCAGAGATAAGAACTCGTTACTATTTCACCCATGATACGGGGTCAGCAATCCATTTCCAAAAAACCCACCCTTTTTTAGCATTTATTTTCACCAAACAGTTTATTAAGAAAACAAAACCCCTCACTTTCAGGAAGGATGAAACTGCGCTGGGGTTTTTGTTAACAATTTCAATTGAAAATTTAAAAATGTCATTGGAAATGTGTTTTCCTTCTGCTTTTCTGACACTTAGAGGCTTTCAGCTGATCTGCTTAAAAGCTGTTCTTGCTCCACTTCAACTGTTAAAGCTCGAGACGAGTACATAGCCTTACCAGCAAATACAAACATAGGGGGAAAAAAAAACCCTGCTTATTTGTATTGGCGTGTCAGGAAGGAAAATGTGTGAGAAATCACCCTTTCAAGAAGAAATCACCCTTTTGTGACTTCTGCTGTTGGAAAGCAGCTTTTACTTTTTGACAACAGGGGTCTTATTAAGAGGAGAAGGTGTTTTCCTTTTCTTTTTTTACTCCGTTTTCCTCAGAAAACTGAATGCAGCAAAAAGAAGGGGTTAACCATCCCTGGCAGCTGTGGGGCAAGGAGCCACCGAGGCATCGCTGCCTGCTCAGAAACCAGTCAGTCCCATCTCTTTTTAACGTAACTAGATCTTTATTAAGAAGCAAACCAAATAAATAAGTGATACTTATTAAGGAAAACAAGAAGATTATTTCTATAAATAACAATATAACAGTAAAGTGATATACAGTGTTCTGGGGCAGCAATAAATTATCCTGAGCTGAGGGGACGCGGTGCCTGGTGCCCTGGGCAGGGCGAGGTGACAGCCTGAGCGCTGACAGCCTGGCCTAGGAGCACTTGGGGAGGGTCGAGTGCTTAATCCCGACCCCTCAAAGCCCTCCCACAGACCAGAAACACTGCAAACTGCATCAGATGTGATTGCCGAACCCTCCAGGTGCTGTTCCCCATGGCACCTGGATGTGTAATGAGGAGAGAACAGAGCGACTGGCGTCTGGATCAGCACATCTGGACGAGGGGCAAGGGGGGCGGCTGAAGCACCAGAGGTGTTGGAAAGCTGCTTTTTTACAGCAGCCCAAATCCCCCGCACCTCAGCCAGCCCGTGCCTCAGTCCCTCTCGACATAAGGCAATGCCAGAAGACAGAGACCCCCAGCGGGTTCTGCCCTCTGGGTTTGGGAAACCGAAACAAAAGGCACAAATAAATACACCAAGGCACAGGGTGAGAGGAGGCACTTGTGTTCCAGGGGCAGACCCCTGCTCATATTATTGCAAAAATCATGATACAGTGGGTGGGAGAAGCAAAGGGCTTTCCAGTTTTCCCCTTTTTTCTTGTTGCTGTTGTGATCTAAGTCAAATTGACTGGGAAAAACCACCAGGGTTGATTTTCCTCCCAGCACAGGTCTCCCTCCTCGGAGCACGCAGCCACAGGCAACACAAGTGGCCCTGGGTTCAAATGCCTCACAGCCTCACAGACACTATCCGATTGTCACCCCAATGCTGGAAACTGTTTGTGCCTCCTGGTGCTTCAAGAGCAAACAGGAGAGCGCGGTGCCACAGCTACGGCACCATCAAGTACGACCAAACCTGGTGATGAAGCCCCAGGAATTATGGCCCATGGCTACCAAAACAATATTTGGGGGATCCTCTCAGCCAGGTGCTGTAGCTCCAGCTCTCAGATTGAGAGCATCAAGTCTCACTTGGAGCAAAGAGCCACAGACGTGCCTGCATCCCCGCTATCTCCATCTCCACCAAGCAGACACGGCTGAAGAACCAGCGGCGGCAGCTGGAGCTCAGCGGCAGCTCAAAGCTCAACGTCCACAGTGTCCTCCTCGTGCTCCTTGATGTCCGTGGAGTCCGCGGTGGCAGGTTGGATCACCCTGAACTGCGACAGCTTCGCTGCCTTCTGCTCCATGCTCTGCTTCCTCCACTTGATCCTCCGGTTCTGGAACCAGACCTTCACCTAGCACGGAAATCACACGATGAGACACCCATGTCCCCTCTGCCCAGCTCCCTGGGCTGTCCACACCCTCCCTGTCCCCTCCAGAGCCATGCTTTGCTTTCCCTTTCCCCAGCTGAATTTGGCTGCTCCTCCTTTTCCACAATAAATAAGCAGCTTGCAGTGGGAGGGCCAGAAACATACTGGGAAGAGCAGAGAAAAGATGTAGATCCCGTGTCATAAAAGGCCACTGAAAGCATAACCTGTCACTTAAACTCTCCAGAGGATCATAATAATGCAGATAGATTAGTCCACCACGGCTTGAACTCTAAAGCAAGCAAGTTTGTGCTCTCAAATGCTTTTTTGTTCCACTTCACGGATTAAGCAATTGATGTTCTTACTCATCTAAACCTGTCCTGCATCTCTCCAGGCTTCAATGTCACCCTGCAGCAGGGAGTCCCACAGGTCGCTCTGCACCACGTCCTCCTCCCACCGGAGGGGAATCACCACCGACCAAAACACCCAGCACCCCCAGCTCCCCCATTTCCCACCTGAGTCTCCGTGAGATGCAGGGTTGCGGCCAGGTCCACTCGCTCGGTGCCCACCATGTACTGCTGCTTGAGGAACTCTTGCTCCAGCCGCTCCAGCTGCTCCGGTTTGAAGACGGTGCGGACCCTCTTCATCTTGCAGGGCCCTCCGGACCTCCAGGGCACAGCGGGGCCCAGCGAGTTGGTCCCTACGCAGTGAGACAACTCCAGACCTGCATAAAGAAACGATGACTGAAGGGGTCTGCATGTTTAAGGCCAGTTTTCCAGTTGATGTGCCAAACCCAACTGTAGCTGGCATCCAAATGCAGTTGCTCCGTGCACTAAAGGGACCTGGGAGATGTCCCTACCCTGTCCCTACATAAATCATCTCCTCTAGGCTCCCTTTCTCACAAAAGGTTGATCTTTTGAGGTCCTTTTCAACCTGTTCTGTGATTGTACCCATGGGTACAAGCTAGGACAGTCCTGGATGTGCAGCCAGACCCAAAGAAGTCAGCTTGGGGTTTGACCTCCATCTGTACAAGATCTTTGTAACAGAATGATAAAAATCCATCAAAAATTGAATGCGAAAATCCCATCTCAGTCTCAAGAAACCCCTAATTACAAAGTCTAAAGGTTTGTAGAGTTGCAGAATGGTTTGGGTTGGAAGGGACCTTAAAGATCACCCAGGCCAACCCCTGCCGTGGGCAAGGTTTGGGGAGCTTACCCCACGCTGGCCACTGCTTTTACCCTTCCCTTGGCATCCAGGAGACACTGAAGCTGACCTGATGAAGACGAGAGTCACCAAATCCTCCTCCTGGACCTTCATCCTTTGGTCTCAGGAGCTTCAACCGATCCATAAGGTACCTCATGTGCAGAGGCATTAGCAGGAGTCACAGTGGGTCTGCTCTCAAGTCTCCTATCTAATTCTGGCCTGATGATAAACGTGATGACCTAATTAACTCACATCTCACTGCCAGGAGGGTGGAGACACCACAGCAAAACCCCTCAGCAGCCAAGATGCTGGTTCTGGAGTTACATCCGAGCGTGAAGCTCTGGAGGGACAATCGAGGTCTCCTGCTCAGTGCCCATATTTGCTGGTCTGGGGCCTCAGCTCCTGTGCTGAAAGACTCAGAAGTCCTGAAGACTTCAGAGAAACCTCCAAAAAACCCTCCTGAAGGCGTGAGGACCCAGACAAGGGCAGCACTCAGGTGTCTGATGGTACCACAGCCCCTGCCCTGCCAGCAGCCAGATTTCTGTTAATTTTAATGGAAATTCTGTGCATAACGACGCCGATTCCCACCCACAACTCGTCTCTCCCTTAACGACTGACACGGGCACAAATGGGCACCTCGACCTACTTCGTTTCATTAACTGGGTGCGAGTTCTGCGCCTGTTTTCAGGAGCTGTGGGATGGAGCCCTGACAGCTTAACAGCCGTAATTGCACTTAAAAACTGTTTCCATCATTAAAATAATTTCACCCAGCCACTTTAACGCTCGGATAATAGCGGGTGGAATTTCAAACATGAAATGCTCTGTGGAAATAGCTTCGCAAACTGTTTAACTGTATTTTCATACCGGTAACACTTGGTATAATACATCGATTAACACACAATGACGCAGATAGCGGCTCGTAAAAGAAGTAATAGCGACGCTAAGTAGTTAAAAGAAAAAGAGATCAAGAGTAGCAAATACTTTTGGTAGCTGAATATTGTAGCTGTCAGGATCAAATCGGGAGTTCACAAGTTAAATCCGTGCTCGGCTGCAGGTTTTGCCCGGGCAGTGGCGAGATCAGGCTGTGAATGCTGAGAAGATACTTAAATTTCAAGAAAAGGAAACTACTCTGAGTAGAGCCACTTTGTTAAAACGGAGTGATTTTGCTTAGGAAAAGCTACAGAGCTTCTCGGTGAAAATACAGCGAGCCTGATAGACTCACCAACATCATCCTGTAAAAGCGTGAACTGTAAATGTTACCTACGGATTAACAACAAAAAAACCTTTTCTTTGGGTGCTTTTGCACTAAAAAACGCGTTTTTTTGGGAGTCGGATGCTGTGAAATACTCAGCGTTGAGCAGGGAAAAAGCAAACTGACAGACACGGGCAGCTTTAGGAGAAGAGGGGACCCCACACAACAGCCAAGGGCTGGAGGAATTACCCGTCGAGCTGAGGTTTTTTGGGGGATTACAGCAATTTTTCGCAGGCGTGACAAAACCACAGCCATTGGGGTGCTTTTTCTAGTACATGAAGAGTTAAATAAGTGCCAGTGGGGGCAAAGCAGCCCTTAAAATGCAGGTAGGGGCACAGGTGGACGTGGTGGGGGCTGTCCCTGACCTGAAATCTGCTGCTGCAGTCATACCAGAAGGATGCAAATCGTGTTATCAGGGTGTTAGCTGGGGGTAAATCGGTAATATCAATTAATTATTGAGCACTAGAGGTAAAGTAATTATTAGGAAATTCTTCTCTGCCCCCCCTTGATTTCCCACAGCCCCAACCCAACGCTTTTCAACCGCCGGAGAGAAAACTACAGCCATCGAGGAGGGGAAATAATGCGATTTTTGGTGACCCAAACCCCCTTATTTGATGGAGCGGGCGCTGCCAGCCAAGTGCCCGGCTGACGGTCCCCGCACCGCATCACCGCACCCGCGACAGAGGGGACACCCAAAACCACCCCCGCTCACCTGCACC